GGAACTTTACAAACTTCCTGGATGCATTTTTAAGTGTAGTCTACAAGTTGGCTGCTGGTTGGGTGGGGAGGAGACTTGAGATTCTTGGAGCTGGAAGGGGCCGTAAGGGTCCTTTATTTTGGCCTGTCACCAATATAGAGATCTCTCCCTATCATGGTGGGTTGTCATCCTTTCTCTTCTTGAATACCCAATGTGGTAAGTAGGTCACAGTTTCAGAAGGTGGCCATTCCTTTTGGGGACAGCTTGACTTCTTTTGTGCCCTGTCTCATTGGAAAAACAGGGATGTTATCTAAAAATATATGTTTAAGAAAAAAAAATATATGCATACATATGCATTTTTAAAAAGAATAGTTTATTGATTTTTCTTTTTAGAGAGAGAGAGAGGAAGGGAGAAGAGAGAAACATCAATGTGAGAGTGCAACATTGATGGGCTTCCTCCTGCACACTCCCTACTGGGGACCAAACCCTCAACCCAGGCATGTGCCCTGACCGGAAATCAAACCAGCAGCCTCTTGGTGCACAGGACAATGCCAAACAACTGAGCCACACTGGTCAGGGTCACACATATACATTTTAATGAACAGCAAACATCTATAGTCCTAGAGAGGCCTGGGGTTTTAATTCCTGATAGAAGTTGGGCACCCAGGGCAGTCACTGTGTATTGGAAATGATGCTCTGTGCGTAGCGGTTTGGGCACATTTATAGATCAGCAGTATCCCTTGTCAATTAGTAGACAATAATGTGGATGTACTACACACCTACATTAGTGTCAGAAAGAAATAGTATGTCTTTAGTAAAGAGATCTTTGAGATGTTCTCGATGAAACTGAAAACTTGATTTAGTGACCTTAAGTTCCAGGAACATCCAACCGGGCTTACAGTGCATCAAAAGTTGGTACTTACTGTGTATAGAAATGTAGAAGGACCAAGGTGTCACATTAAATCAAAATCTTTGCCAATTTGTTGCATATTTTTAATGAAACCTGAAAAATAAGGTTCTTTTTTTTTTTTTTAAATTCAGACATAAGGAAACATTGCAGCGTAACAATGCATAAGGCATATCTGAGGCCCCAAGTGGAGGTGGTGGGTCTGGAGAGACCTTTATGGAAGAGAACAGGTTAAAACACCTTTTACCAGAGGAATCGAGGCACTTAAAAGGTTGATTCAGAAAAGGGCCATGTGTCACCTTTGAGTGTCCAGAAAGGAAAGCAGGAGTCCAGTTCTAGCTCCAGCCATACAGTGTGCCACAGCTGCATCCCCAACATGTCAGCCAGCTTTTATGGGGGCAGTGAGGACACCACCTGCCTGACATGAGCTGGTTTGGATGTTGTCTTACGCAAAGAGTGTTCCTACTTGCTGGAGAGGCAGGGCCTGTTTCCTGTCCTGGTCAGTGAGGGAGAGGAGAGCCTTGGATTCCACATGAAGAGAGCCTTAGGGATCTTCCAGGCTCGCTCTTCTTCCGACTATCCCAGTCCTAAATGAGGAGGTTCCCAGCTAGAAGGGAGGACAGCCTCACAGACTAGGGATCTCTGCCAGGGGAACATCAGCGCTTCCAGCCTCCGTGCCTCCCCTACCTGAAGGTGGCACTTGTTAAACTGGATTGTGCAGCTGAAAACCTGGAGGGCTTGTTGCATGCAGATGGCTGCCCCCTGACCCTGCACCCCGTTTCTGATTGGGTAGGTTTGAGTGGGGCCTGAGGATGCGCATTTCCAACAAATTCCAGGCTAGGCTGATACCGGGCCTGGGCTTTCGCTGTGAGAACCTCTGCCCTAAGAGCACCACCAAGGACATAAAGAGAGCACAGCTGCACCACCCACTTCCCAGCCAGTCACCGGAGCCCATCTCTCCCCTGGGAGAATGAAAGTGCAGGTGGGAGAAGAGGCCTTCGACCAGGGGTGGTCTGGGAAGGCAGAGCTGCGCGTGGAGTCTGATGCGTAGAAGCATTAAAATATATGTTCTAATGTGAGACTTTGCTCTGCCTAAACTGTGATGAAACAATGGAAAGCATCATAGCAAGACGTTGAACCCTAGGGAAGCTATTAACAGTTTAGCATTTGCAGTCCCTGTGGGAATGTCGCTTCTACTTACAAGGAGAGCGCTGCGGGCGTGTCCAGCGGGAGCGGTGCAGCCAGCTGGGGTCCACACCGCCTTTGCTTCCACACTTTTCCTGGAGGAAGAGAAGCTCCAGGATGAGCCTGTCTTATAAGGACAATGTCGATGGCTTGCCAGGCGGTAGGAATGGTTTGTTCCTCTTCAGCTGGCGAATTCTGCAGGGGAACAGAGGCAGAGGGTGAAAACAGTGGGGCAAGCCAAGAGTCGCAGGAAGCAGATCAGGTGCTATTTTCCAATTTTGAAACCAAGTCAGTTCACTTGGACCTTTTGAAAGCCCCACTTGACACCTCTGGGCTGGACTCTCCCCCAAGAGGTTAAAGGAGTTTGTTTCTCCTATTGGGTCAGGAGAAGGAGAGTCCTCCTCACGGCACTTCTTGGTCAGTGAAGACCAGGGCAAGACCGGCGGAGGGGAGGCGGTGATGGATATCCCAGGAGAGAGCACTGGACGTGGGGTCGGAAGGCTAATTCTGATCCTCACTTTGTGTGTCTAACCATCAATCTAGCTGCGGGCCAGTCATTTAATTTCTTAAGGCTTTAGTTTCCCCATCTGTAAAATGAAGGCATAGAGTCCCTGGCAGGGTCGCTCAGTGGTTGGAGCATCGTCCCATGCACGAAAAGTTTGCAGGTTTGATTCCTGGTCAGGCTGTGTATGGGAGGCAACCCATTGATGCTTCTCTCTCGCATTCATGTTTCTCTCTCTCTACTGGAGGCAACTGATCAATGTTTCTCTTTCACATTGATCTCTCTCTCTCTCTCTCCCTTGCTCTCCTCTATAAAACAATAAAGAAATATATCATTGGGTGAGGATTTTTTTTAAAAAGCATAGATTTGATGAACTCTTAGTTTTTTTACAACTCAAAAAAGCAAAAACTGATGGGGGTTGGGGAAGGGGACATATGTAATACTTTCAACAATAAAGATTAAAAAACACACACACACAAAACAAGAACAAAAACCCAAACCAAACCATGGTACCAGAAACTCAGCACTCCCCTGGATGAGCCCTCATGGTGCCACATGGCCTGGTGCTATGGAGAACTGTGCCAGGCTGCTTCCCTGAAGCTCAGCGTACTCATGGCCACCAGGTTTGTGGACAGGTTTGCCAACCAGAGACACATGCAGGTGGCCAGGCCTGGATCCGGTTAACAGTTGTCCCATTTCTTGCTGGAGGCCATTTGAGGCACCCAGGGGTCTCTTCCCAGAGTGAGCGGCAGGGAATTTGAAATTAGACTCTGCCTGTCTAATTTCCTTACAAGGTCCAAGTACCTGGTTCCATTTTTATACCAAGTGCAACAATGAATTCTCAGATTTCTCGTCGAAAAACACGATGACTAAATCTGTAGGTAATTCTACCCCCTACTCTCAATTCATTTAACATAAGTGGTCAGATGAAGACATACTTCTTTTCCGAGTCCAGGCTTCCTACGTTAGCTGGTCCATTCTGTGGTGTTTACTTTGTCTGGGGTCAGAGAGGAGGACGTGCCTCTATGGCTGGTTTTGGGCTGGGTGGAGGCTCCCCAGCAGCCTCCCTTTGCGGTCCTGGTAGCAACAGATTTGTGCTGTTCGGGGAAGAGCTTCCATGAGCCCCATGCCATTGTTACCCACCGGGTCCTCATGAAAGGAAACCTTGTGCCGACTGCCCTGGCTGTTCTTGGTAATATGATCTATGTAGGGAGAACAGGATGTATTTTACACTGGAGACCTGCTGTCCTAGAGTATAACAACACTTTTAAGTGCTCTTAATATTAAGCTAATGGAAAACATACTCTGTTTACTCACCATCAAAGTCTGTTTTTCTTCTCTCTTGCCTCCCCCAATCATCACACACTGCAAACCTCTAGAACACATTGAGCATCTCCTGCTCCATTTGTCCTCCACCCTGCCTCAAGGTTGACCTCTGCATGCTTGGTTAGCTCAAGGTGGCCTTGGAAAAGCTAGGAACTTCCCACATAAACCATATAATCCCCAGGTTGCACAAACCAAATATTTCCTTTCTCACAAAAGTTTCACTGCTAGAAATGCTTGATTTACTGCTAGATTTATGTTTATTAGTGTGAGAAGTCATTTTTTCCTCGCCAGAGCGCGACCAAGTGCAGTGGAATGGAGAAGGTGGGTCGCTTTTTCTGGGTGCCACTACATTGGAATGTTGGTTCTCTCCCCGTCGTTTAATGGGAGGGTTCCTTATGCTCATGGTGAGAACTCACCAAAGTTATTTTAATCCCCAAAGTCTGATCTTAATTCTCCACTATCTTGTGTCGGTATGGGGTTCTCCACTGATTGAAGTTCTGGAGTGTGGCTCAACTAAGTCCTGAAGTGCCTAAGGTTTCCCTGTCAGCCAAGGTGCTGTCCTAAACACAGCATGGGACGAGGGGCATCGGGACAGGGAAGGCAGGGTGGGACTCTGTCTGAGAAGGAATGATTCACAAACCCACTCATTTCCTATCAGCATATTGTTTTTTTCCTTGGGCTTGTCTGTAAAGTAAATGTACGCACGTAAACCAGCCTTGCAGATAAATCCCCTATTTTACCAGCCTACCCACACATTACCAATTTCCCCTTGCTATTTATATACATCTTATTACAAAACAATCATCAAGCAATAACCAACAAATAAATAAATGAAAGAACCACCCCCAATACAAAAAGAAAAAGAAAAAAGAACGAAGAACCTCAAAAACCTCTTTCCTTTTGTCAAAAAGACCAAAATTAAACCAAACTGTGGGAAATAACTTTTCGCTGTTTTTGGATACAGGTATTGGTCCTGCTAACTATCTGCCAGGCTGTTGCAATGATGTTCATCTATTTTATTGGGGTGGGAATGTGATATTCTGTGGTTTTCGATGCACGTTGTTCAGAGCTTCCGTGTTTGATTCTGGGTTTCTTTCACAGATAAACTTCTGCACTGGAGGGGCCTCTCCTCCCCTCGTTCTGCACACGGAGCTCTAATCCCCACGCCCGGGATGAGTGCAGAATATGGCCCGCAGGGTATTTGTAAGTTGAGCATTATTTCTTCTACAAATGTCCATGTGTGTAGAGATGAGAGTTTCTGGAAATTACCCTTACGTTTTAAGCACTGAAAGGAGTTACTTCCAAAATAGATTGGCATCCGCACATGTATTATTCCATTACTCACTTGGCACCCAGTCCCCCTCTCACTCCACTCAGTTGTTCCCTCCCCTTTTTTCTTTCCTTCCGTACTGAGGGCACGGAGCTGACAGCAAGCGCGTCCCTGTGGGCCTCCTCCCCAGGGTCCTGTCTGGCTCCATGGCTGGTGACTGCAAACAGTCTGTGTGGTCAGAGCCCATTTTATTGCTGGATATTCGCTCCCATGGCCTCATTTAAGATTGAATTACTCCATGGCATACATTTTTAGCAGAGGCCGGAACCAAAGGGAGTCAGTTTAGAGTTACTCCAGAGTTATTCTCATGCATGTTACATATGCATTTACATGTGTATTTAAACATGGTGTATTTTTATATATACGTGGTGCATTATATATGTGCATACATATGTAATTTCTACTTGTTTTTTTTTCCTAGTTTTAGTGAAAAATGCACAGCATTGTTGCCAAAATTCAAAGATACCCACCACCACTACCATCACCACCACCACCATCATCACCATCACCATAGCCACCACCATCATCACCATCACCATCACCACCATCACCACCACAACCACCAACCACTACTTGTTCAAGCCAAATTTTATAGCGGAGAACTTCCTATGAAATTTAGATTTGTATGTTCATAAAAATGTTTTTTTGAAAGATACTGTTTTAGAAAGTAATACAGTTTGCTTCTCTGTGTAGGAATAAATGGTTTGAATCATGCATGGCTAAAAAGTTGGGGAGCGGGGAGGGGAGGGAAGGCTGATTCTACCCGAGATACACAAAAAAGCAGGTTCAAAATAAAAAGAAGTTTGATATCTAACTTCTATTTAAGGAAAGTATTTTCATTTTGAAAGTAAATGAAAAATAGCCTGCTGTGGAAAGAAAAAAAAAAAGTGTCATGGAAGAGAATACTGGAAGAGAAAGAAGCAGGAGTAGAAGCTGTACAGGGGGCTGGTTTTCAGATGGGAGGTAAACTAGACCTGTGAATGGTGTCTGCAGGGCATGGCATGCACCCTGGGACCAAATTCAAAGCCAGTTGTTTATTTTTGTTAACTCCTAGGTAATCCTAGGTAACAAAGAGAGCCTGGTTAGGTCACAGATTGCAGAGCTTAGGGGGTTGGACTCATGGTTTCGAGTCCTTACATGCTGACTGGGTGCTGGGTGGGGAGATCTCTCCTTGTTTGGCTGTGGGTGCTTGGGGCCCCACACTTGGCTGTGGGAACAGAGCCACCTTGGAGGGAAGGGGAAGGAAGGGAAATGGGGCAGCAGAGCGGAGGGTGGGGCTGAGTAGCCAAGGGCTGTCGGCCTTGGAATCTGTTTAGCTCTCTCTCTTCCACTTGATCCTCCCAAGGGCAGGGAGTCTGATTTGAGGGGTGGGAAACTAAGAGCCTGATATGGAAGAACCCCCGTCTTCCTTGCTTGCTGCAAAGGGAGGGTGCCTAGGTTGCTGGTGCTCATGCTGGCAGGACCAGTTTAGGAGTGACCAGAACAAGGTATGTGGAAGTGGGTGGTGGGGTTCCAGAAAGCTCTAGCACCAAGCTGACCCCCACCCCACTCAGCTGCCCGAGCCAGGCTTTCAGAGCAATAGGCACTTGTGGCCTCTCTGCTGGTAGGCACAGTCACAGTCCTTAAAACAGCCCCCTCCAGCTTTCCTCTATCCTGGCCCCCACCTTGGCCTGGGGTAAGACCTGGATTCTGGATTCTAGATTCCGACTTTCCCCTGGATTCCCTTCTGGGTGTTTGATGTGGTTAGTCATCATACTAGGTAGCCAGTCAAGCCTGGTAGTAATGAAGACTCACATTCACGTTCATTCACGTTGGACCTGATAGTTTACAGAGGGCTTTTATATCCATCTGTCATTTGAGCCTCACAATTCTTTAAGGTGCTATTTTTATGTTCATTTTACAGATAGGAAACCCCAGGCTGTCCCAGAGCCAGGAGCTAGTGTACAGTAGAGCCAGGGGCCAGCTCTCTTGTTCTTCTAAATCCTGAGGCTTTGATCATGTGACTTTTTAATTACCTGACAAACTAGAAATGGGGTCATTCCTTCCCATACAATAAAAAGAAATAAAATAAAAGTCAGTAGGTGAGCTCATAGCTCATTTTAACTGTTTTGATGCCCTGAGTTCCTGTGCGTGGGGCCAGGTCTCAGTTTATTGCTCTAAATCAAAACAATCCCCAGGATTGCCCAATGAGGCTCTCAAATTGAGAAGTTGATTTTCATCAGAGTAAATGAAGAATATTATTACATTTTACAAGTCAATAAATCAATGTAGCCCTAATTTTGCCACGCAGGAAATCAATTCTGGTCTTTCTAAACCATCAAAGATGTTATGAACAAAGTAATTTCACAAATTATGGCAAGTAACACATTTATTGATGACTGCAGTTTAGGAATTTAGAATCTGTGAGCACTGTAATATAATATGGTGCACGGGCATGAGCTGAGTGAAATACAGATTATGTGGGGAAGCCGTAATGCATCATTTGCTATTAGTGGACTGGTAATAATTACCAGTTTCAAAGCAGCTCTTTTCATGTAATCTTTAGTCTCAATCGTAACAGCCCTTCTCATTGACATTATGATTACACTAGCTGCCCTCGTGATCTAGAATATCTAGTTGATGGGAATACTAAAATGCAGTAGTGAAAACTGTATGTTGTATGCTCATTAGAAGATAAAATGCCATTTTTCTCTGACCTGATGTATGGGAGAGAGGGGAAGGTAACAGCACAGTGTTAACATGATCACAACGCTGGCTCTGAAAACAAAATTTTAGGAAGCTCAGGGCAGCAAAACAAAATGGGCTTTTCTCAGTGAAGCCTTTTTGATAGGATACAGAGGGGGGCTTCTTGAAGTAGTGCTATACAGATCTCGGCGTTTTTCAGTGGCCACATTCATGGCGCAGGGGTCCAAGTGCTGGGTTTCCATAGAATAGTATAAGGTAAAATGTGGTTTTAAGGCATTTGGAGTGATGAAAGTGTTAAGAACTTGCTTCAGCTGACAAATCCTCTATTTTACTTACCCAATTCAGATTGTCAGGCTAAATGTATGAGAAAGCCACAGAGGGTCACCGTAGTTGGAACCAGATCGTTTTGGTTTTTTTTTTCCTATCTGTTTAGGACCCAAGTAAAAAAAAAAATTATGAAAATACTCTCAATGATGCTTTTTATTTCCCTTTGAAGAGAGGAGGCAAACAAAAATAGGCAGATAATGTGATACTAATGTCAGCATTTTCTTTCAAAATCTTTCTGCCTTTTTTCTCCCTCCACATTAGGCAAATGTTTAAAACCTAATTTTGGTATCTTATCATCTAATCTTGTTAAAGAGATTTACCCAGGAGTGGGATATATTGAGTGAGATTATAAATGCATTGTAAAGTAAATTGCAAGGTCAGGGCAGGGAGTCCATTATTCAGACAAGCGCCTGTGCGCAGGCTGGC